CACAGGATAAAAAACATCATAGAAGAGAATCAAACTATTCACAATGACATATATGGTTACAATATTGGTGAAACTGTATCGGGTTATGATGTAGGGTACCATATATGGTTCAATTTTGTGGCCGGACAGGGAACACTAGATGTCTTAGTAGAATGTTCACTTGTCATGTGTTTCAAAGACACCAACATAGCATGATTTTTCAGTGCCATATATTAATCACGCGTTTCGTGCGATCTGCAAGAGGAGTCTGTATTAAGAAGGATTGCAAAAACAGATAGGGCATATTTTATTTTATTTGCCAATCAAGGAGCTTTGTTAATCACTACGACGGATTACAATCATACTGTAAAACATCGGTAAGAAAAGCAGGAATGAAGTTGTTAGGAGCTAGGGTTCTGCCGGTTCTAGGGCGGAGATTGTAGGGGAAGGATGGAGGAGGACGAGGGCGAGGGCGCAGCGGCCGGCGGCTGGGCGCCGTCCCTGTGCGGTGGAGGCGGCGGCTGTGGCAGGAAGGAGATAGCGCAGGGGAGGAGGAGGATAGGGTTAGGTCTCCCGGCTCCCTAAGGAAGCCGAGCAATTATGATTGCTTCTTTGCTTAATGTCAAAACGGGTCCTTACATGAGTTTATATAATCCTCCTAATGATATAATTGGGCTAAGCCCCTAACACGATAAGATAACTGGGCCAGGCCCCTAACTGCCTGGGCTGTAATATATGCCGCTCATAACATTTCTCCCCGCCTGCACAAACAGCTCGTCCTCGAGCTGGAAGGCGGGGAAGCGCTTGCGGAACTCCCCGAGGAGATCAACCGTCGCCAAACACCTCCGCGGCAGCTTGGGCGGGCAGGTCACCGAGGCCGGCGGCGGCGGCCTCAATGTAGTCCGCAGCCTCCAGGTAGAAGAGTCGCGGGCAGACGTGGCCGGGCACGTAGGGCTCGTCGCAGTTGAAGCACAACCCTTGACGGCGACGCTCGAGTTGCTCGGCCGAGGTGAGCCGGCGGAACGGGCGCGCCGCGGTCGCAGCGAGGGGTGCCGTGGAAACCTGTGCAGGCCGACCCTGCGCGGGAACGTCCGGCCCAGCTGGCGGCCCAGCAGCCCGGGACGGTGATGCCTGCTAGATGGCCACCGCGCTGCGCTCGAATGCGCGGGCATAGTACATGGCCGTCTGGAGGTCCTAGGGTCCCCGCAGCTCCATGTCCACACGGATATGATCCGGCAGACCGCCGACGAAGAGCTCGGCCTGCTGGCGAGCCGTTACGCCGGGCGCGTGGCATGCCAGGGCCTGAAAGCGGTCGGCGAAGTCCTGCACCGTGGAGGTGAAGTGGAGGCGGCCGAGTTCCGCCAGCCGGCTCCCGCGTATCGGCGGCCCGAAGCGAAGGAGGCATGGCTCACGAAAGCGCTCCCATGGGGGCATGTCGTCCTCGTCTTGCTCGAGGGCGTAGTACCACGTCTGTGCGGCGCCCGGAAGGTGATATGAGGCGAGCCAGGTGCGTTCCGATGCGAGCGTGTGTTGCCCTCGGAAGAATTGCTCACACTGGTTCAGCCAGTTGAGGGGGTCCTCGGCGCCGTCGTAGGTGGCGAAGTCGAGCTTGGCGAAGCGCGGCGGTGTCTGAGCATGATCGCCGTGAGCGTACGGCTCCGCGATACGGAGCAGCGAAGAGGATGGCGTCGGGCCGGTGTGCACAGGTGGTTCGCTGGGAAGCAGTGGGCCCGTCGAATCCAGCGTGGAAACCCGCGGCGCTGGAGGGCCCGCCGTTCGGCAGAGAGGGCGCCGGCTGGTCTGCGGCCATGTGAAGACTGGCGGCGGCGACGTCCCGGCCAACCAGGCCGGAAGCTGTGACGGCGAGGGCGGAAACCACACTTGCTGAATCGAAACGCCTGCCGGCGCGGTTGTAGTCAGCCCGGTGCTGGGTGGCGGAGGCCCTGCAGCGGCAGCTGCTGCTGCATGGAAATGGCGGAGGCGGCGGGCGCTGCGATGGCCACGGCCGGCCATTGTGGCCAGAGCGAGGCGGTGGCGGGGGCTGGCTGCAGCGGCAGCGGGGGCTGCAGCGGCCCGACCAGCGCAGCGGTGGCCCCTAGGTGTGGCAGCTGCCAGGGCGGTGGCGGCGGTAGCTGCAGTTGTGGCTGCAGCGTGCCGGCGAGCGCGGCGGAGGCCGCCAGGGGCGGCGGCTGCGTCGGCAGCAGCATCGGCCGGGTGGCGATGGTTGGTGACGCGGCCGGTGGCAGCCCGTAGGGCCCGGCCAAGTAGAGGCAGATCCCCTGGACGGCTGTGACGAGATCGTTGAGGATGCCGGTGATTTCCACCAGGGAGTAGACCAGCGGCGCGGTGGAGGGTGGTGGTGACGAACCGGTGGAGGGGGGCGGCGGCGACTGACCGGTGGAGGCGCCGGCGGTGGAGCCCAGCGGCGCGGTGGGGAGGGCTAGCGGCACAGTGGAGAGGATCGGCAGCGGCGCGGTGGTGGTGGGAGCGGCGGAATTGGTGGTGGTGAAGACATGCTCGAAACCGAGCTACCTGATACCAAGGTGTTAGGAGCTAGGGTTCTGACGGTTCTAGGGCGGAGATTGTAGGGGAAGGATGGAGGATGACGAGGGCGAGGGCGCAGCGGCCGGCGGCTGGGCGCCGTCCCTGCGCAGTGGAGGCGGCGGCTGTGGCAGGAAGGAGATGGCGCAGGGGAGGAGGAGGCTAGGGTTAGGTCTCCCGGCTCCCTAAGGAAGCCGAGCAATTATGATTGCTTCTTTGCTTAATCTCAAAACGAGTCCTTACATGAGTTTATATAATCCTCCTAATGATATAATTGGGCTAAGCCCCTAACACGATAAGATAACTGGGCCAGGCCCCTAACTGCCTGGGCTGTAATATATGCCGCTCATAACAGAAGTTTATAGGGATATTGTATTGCCTTTTTTTTCAGAGATGGTAGCTTTATGAGTTTAGAGCAGAGCACTGGAGGGGCCATGGCCCATCTGGCTTGTACAAAGCTCCACTGGTGGGGAGCAGCATGACAATCTAGGTGGCAAATATGCTGAAACCTGAAGTAGAGCTGCAACACTCCCTCCTTGCTAGGTACTCTAGATTCGCAAATTATATCAAAATGATGAAATATTAGGGCATAATTGGTTGCATATTTCCGCAAGGATTGTCAAGTACAATTACACTAAGCGTGTAACTTCAAGCACACGGCTGGAAAGGCAGCTAAAGCCCGACACATTCCCCCCTCAATCCCCACTCAGGCAAAAGCGAAATCTCGTCTTTGCTACCGAAAGTCCCAACCGCGTGGCATGCCATGCTGCCATCACGAACTAAGTGCCACGCCGGAGCTGCACGGGGAGCAGCGGCGGCAGGTGAGAAGGGAAGGGTACCTGTCGGCGATGAAGTGCGGGAGGTCGAAGCGTTTGGTGACGGCCATGAGGCCGTTCCCGGAGGGGTCGAGCATGGTGAACACCTGCCCCACGAACGCGGGCCCCCCGCTCCCGCCAACCTTAATCCCTCCTCCTGCTGCCCCCTTCCCGCCGCCGGCCGCCGCCGGGCCGGCCATCAGCCGCTGCCGCTGCGGCTGCGGCCTGAGATTGGGCGCGGACGAGGAAGAGGGAGAGGAGGGGGCGGTGACGGGGAGGAGGCGCGGGACGGCGAGGGGAGGAGCCGGAGACGAGGAGGATGTGGGAAGGGAGTTGGAGGTGAGGGAGCAGTGGAAGGGGTTGGAGGAGGAGGAGGAGGAGCTTGGCATATGGTGATGGACTGATGGTGGTGGCGCGGTTAGTTTTTTTTTTCGAGGGGGCTGGGTGGGGGAGGTGCAGCGTGTCGTTCAACTTGGGCTTGGAATCCGGCCGGGATGGGATGGGATATGCGTTGCGTTGCGTCTCGCCTTCGCCTCCGCGCGCACGGCGTGCGGCGTGCCGGGTTGCGTTGCGTTGCGTTCGGCACCGCGCGCTTTTTATCTCGTGCAACTGACTCGTGCTGTCACGTTATTCCCCCCCGCCAACCGGCTTGCAGCAAAGCAATCTCGTAAAGAACTCCGTAGTGGAGTTCCGTACCACTGATGACAGATTGATAGCATCACACATACCAAACCACAATCACCATTGATCACAGAGAAACAAAATGCAGGTGAATAAAAAATAGCCGTAAAACCGAAATGTGAAAGCGCCACTCGAAACACCTGAATTTTGGAACTGATACTTAAGTTAATTTCAAAATGAGTGGCGGTAGTTCACAGAATCGAGTTCCAGAACAGTCGCAAAAAAAAAATCGAGTTCCAGAAACACAAAGGAAATAACAGACCAGCTTTACAAAGATTTGTCCATCTCAAAAACAACGTTGTCAGGTCAGGTCGGGAACTTCTACAGCAAGAGTACATTAACCATTATGTAAACACATCTAACTCGTAGTTTGGCCATGATCGGCAACATTTCATACTTGTCCGAGAATTCTCTTATTTATATAGGAGAATACAAGAAGGGAAATGGACATGTTTTTGTCCGATAAATTTACAAGAACTTCGACGCTCCAAGATACCAACCACCTGTTTCTCTACCATAATGCTGAAAAGTTCTGTCTTCAACCATAACCACGGGTGTTTGGAGCTCAGTTCTTCCCAATGCTATGAGAAAATGCCCTATTTGCAAACTGAAAATGCTGAGCTTGCTTCTTGCAGTGATCCTCACTTTTAAATGTTGATCACTTCAGCCCCCCTTTCTTCTGTCCACATGCTGTGCTTGGAAGGCGGCAGCTTTCTGTTTCCTCTGATAGTCTGTATAATGACAGGGATTTCCTCTGCATCTTTAACTCCAACGGAAGTATGTACGTCATGACTAATGACTTCCCTTCTGAACGGTACACAAATACCAGGTCCTTTATGAGAATCGGGAGGTGCTTTTGTGACATCGTAAAAGCATGACTGAGTGGGATCAGACACTTCTGTTCTTTTGTCTGTTTTCATCCTTTTTATACTAGATCCTCTTTTCTTGATATTACTCTTGAAAGACGACACTTTTCTTGGAATAGAACGCTGTAGGATCCGGATTGGTATTCCCCCGATGTTGAAATCTTCCTTGAGAGATCTTGTCAAGAACCTGATATCTGTATCAGATAGCTCAGTCTTCCCACTCATAAAGGCGACAAATGTTGGTGGCCGCGCTTTCACCTGAGTGAAATACTTCACTTTTGGCTGTGTGGCTGAATCTTTCCATGAATGTCTACTCATAACCTGTCGGAGGGAATTGGAGGTACAGCCGAAGTAATGTAAGTGTCTGTGAGATGAATGAACTCAGCAGTCGCAAATATAAACATGATAAAGTTACAGGCTCAAAGCAGATGAATGATAGATAACCAAACATTTAAAACAATAACTATTCCTAAAACACACATGATGAAGATGTTTTGAAGATCTCTCTTCTGCTTGATCTTCTTATGTCCTCTCGCTTTATCTTTTGGGCTTGTAATAAAATATCAGAGTTTCAGTTCCGGGTTTGCCCCGGCGTCGATGTTAGGTGTAGCCTGTTTGACTTGAGCTGTTATGGCGCTGCTAAAAGGAGGGCGCGAGAGGGCCGGCCGGGGGCCTTTTTGCCCACGGCCGGGCAAGAGGGAAGGGATTTCATTCTTAATTCTTGCTTGATTAGATTGATACATCTCCTCTCTTTATATAGAGAGGTTTACTTGACTCCCAAGCAAGGCTTACTTGACCCCTAAGCAAGCGACCCTTATCTCTAATTAACCCTAAGACTAATGGGCCCATTAGGCCCATTACGTACTCTAACACTACACCCCACCTGGACATGCAGCTTGTCCTCGAGCTGCAGCCTAACCAACTTATAACCATGACTCGACGCAACACAAACCTAAAACCTAAAAACAAGCCTTTTACATTTCGGCTTGTTTTATTATTCTCAACCTGAAATGGATTGGGACGCTTTATTTTGGACCCCTTCACAAAAAGTGGACACCATCCGCACGTCAGACGTGCACGTGTACAGCCACCTGGATCCCATGGACACCACCTGGACAAAAGGAGTGCATGTGTATGACCACCTGGAAGTGGTCGCAAGAGTGACCAGCAGAGGCGCCCTCGCGGCGGCCGGTGGCGGAATGCAGTGGTACTACGCGGTGCGCTGCTGTCGGTGACACCATGCCTTCTTCCTGCCGGACGGCTGTTGGTTTGCACCGCACAGGGAAGAGTGGAGGGCTTGCGATGGAGAATGACGAGGAGGGGTTCGCCCCCCCCCCCCACAACCGCCGATGTCGCAGACTTTGAGGTCGCTGCCCGCGGGGAAAACAGCATGCCCGCCGTCCGTGGGGGAAACCGCATGCCCAAGATCCCCGACGCAGCGGATGAGATTGAGGTCCTTTGCGCAGCGAAGGGCAACTTGGAGGAGCGGCAGCTGCAGACCACGCATCTCCCGCACACGCCAACGCGCTAGGAGGCCGCGCGCAGCAGCCTGCAGCCTCACCGCCGTCGACACATGGCGGGTAGCGATCCAAGACGGAAACGGTGACAGCGATGGCGGGGACTGGACTTGGTGAAGCGGGACTCCTGCCGGTGCGGTCGATGCTGGACCGGAGCTGACCGGCGGTGGCTGCTGCAGCTGCAGCGGCTGCTGCGGTGGAGCGCCGGGCGCGGCGGAGGCCGCCAGGAGCGGCGGCTGCCACTGCAGCCAGGGATGGGCGGTGGTGGCGATGGATGGCAGCTGCAGCGGCTGCTGCAGTGGCCCGGCAAGCGCGGCGAAGGCCGCCTGGTGCGGCGGCTGCCACGGCAGCCACAACGGCACGGGGGCGGCGATGGGCGCCGGAGGCGCGGCGGGAGCCGGCGCCGGCCACTGTGGGGCGGCGGCGGCAGCTGCAGCTGGGGCTGCAGCGTCCCAGCGAATGCCGCGGAGGCCCCTGGATGCGGCGAGTACCACGGCAGGGCCGGCGGCCCGGTGGCGGCGGTCGGCGGCAGGGGCGGCGACGGCTCATAGGGGCTGGCCAGGTACAGCCGGATCCCCTAGACGGCTGTGACGAGGTCGTTGAGGACCCCGGTGATCTCCTCCGGGGTGTAGGCGGCGGCCGGTGGTGCGGTGGAGGGCGCTGGCATCTGGGCGGTGGTGGCGTCGGAGGAATGCGACCAGCGGCGTGGTGACGGTCAGCAGTGGAAGCGACGGGGTGGGCGGCGGTGAAGACATGATCAGAACTGAGCTACCTGATACCAAATTGTTATGGCGCTGCTAGAAGGAGGGCGCGAGAGGGCCGGCCGGGGGCCTTTTTGCCCACGGCCGGGCAAGAGGGGAGGGATTTCCTTCTTAATTCTTGCTTGATTAGATTGATACATCTCCTCTCTTTATATAGAGAGGTTTACTTGACTCCCAAGCAAGGCTTGCTTGACCCCTAAGCAAGCGACCCTTATCTCTAATTAACCCTAAGACTAATGGGCCCAGGCCCATTACGTACTCTAACATAGCATGTTTGACTTGAGCTGTTAGGAGGGAGGGAGGGATGGCTCCTACCCTCGTAATAGCGCTGTCAAATGTTTTTATCTGTACTAAGACTGCTATGCGTGGCTTTGTAGGTCCGAAGACATTGTGGTTTCTTTTATATGAAATCGGAGAGGGAGCTCTCTTTATCAAAAAAAAAATCCTAAAACACTAAACTAAGACGTAGTGACCATAGATGGCCCACTATAGACGGCTTACATCAACCACTATAAGTCGCTGATATTTGCCAAAACACCCCCAAATCACTCTACTCTGCACTCGTGCAATTCCACCTAGTGATCTGTGACTGTGTCATTCTAGATTGAATATAATGTTCAAGATCTATGTTCTTACCGTTCTATGTTAATGTTAGTTCACTTGGCACACACCCTAACATGCAAATTAAGTAACAGTGATGTAAGCAGGATATTTACCTTACGCAACCAACGGTTCAGGCGCGAAGTTGACAATCTAAAACACCATTTCTCATAAGTTTCTATAACATGGTGCATAACAGCAACCCGCCCCCTGCCCTCCATTGCTGACACGAACACAACTGGTATTCCTGTAACCTGTCAACACAAAGAAGATTAAAAGATTTTCAGATGTGCTGTTGCCGTCAGAAAATGTGAAGCAAATTAGAAGTTCCGCAATGTGGTTGATCCCTCTTTTTGGTCAGAGGGCTTTAAATTTTCAACTTATACAGAGGCGTTAGAAAAGTGAACATTTTGCTATTGATGTGTCCTTTGATTCATGGGTTGTACACTTGTATGGGTAGATTAGGTCGGGAAAGCATATGCAGATAAGAATTTTATTACTGTTTGAACTAAAAGATTACATACAAAACTCTTAGTGCTACTGAACATGGACGTAAAACAGTCTGACTAAGGCTCGGTTTTTCAACATACTCTGAATCCCTCCTGGTCTCTTCCACCAACTCTAGACTCAGACTGCTGTAACCCTACTAGAACTTGGCAGCGTGACTTCCTGCCGGAACAGGCTCTTCAGTCTCCGCATACAAGTCCAACTGGACTTGGGTACCAACTGCTGGCCCCGATAAGCATTGACAGCGGATATTACTGATATTCCACACATTATTGAAACACAAAAGGTAAGGAGTGGAATTTAAACTCTGCATTTGCAGCAGTGGAGCACTGTCAAAAGATAAGCAGTTTTGTGACTATGACCTCAGTCTCTAAACTCCCATTAACAAACAAAGTAAGGCATCTACATGTGTGATAACCAACCAAATATCAATTTCATCAGAAAGAAAGCAGTTCATCATAAATTTTGTGACTGAGTTAGTGAATAAAGAGTTAGAAAGCTATCCAGAACAACTGTGATGTGTTCAAATAACAAGAATTGAGAAAAAGGAAGGTTAAGTTAATCAGAAATGAGAGGCTCCAAATTATTTGTTTTTTCTGGATCAACAAGGAGCACCGCCTATAGACTATAGTTACCAATTACTAAATCTTTGAAGGGAATCTTCTGTAGTCTTATTTTTATCAAGGAACACCTCCTATAGACTAGTTACCATTTACTACCAGTATCCATGTTACGAGTATCATATTCTGTTATATAGAAATAATAGTATAGCCATAGTGATGGATGATCATAAGTATTTCTTCAATGTCGAAGACAAGTATATTACAAACTAATAACAAAACAACTAGAAACAAACCTGAGGAATAACTGTCTGGATTTCTTTAGGAACAGCATCCATCACTTTTTCTAATAATCGTTGGTTTTCTCTAAGGAGATCCATTTTGTTGACAACCACAACAAGTCCACGGCCTTCTTCGATTGCTTGCCGTGCTATCATAACTTCCTGATGATCCACGCTATTCTTTGACTTTGCGATCTACATATCCATACAGCTTTATCATGGTGTTGTACACACATTACAATTAAAATTGCATTTAACATGCATGACGATGTACGAGATTTGAGGTGGACACAGGGAATGTTGCCTCTAGCGCAAACTAATTTGTGCATGGAACTGACAATAGAGCACTGACCTTGTTAATCATAGCAAGGAATACTAGATCAGTTCAACCTTAGTCAAAACCGCAACATTTGTTATGGTCAGAGGGAGTATATGATATGGGGACTAGTACTAGATGATCAAATTTACACATAGTTAAATCAAGAGATAATTCGGTACTCTCGCTAAAAGTGGAAAAACCAAACTGTAAAGCACACAGATTATCTGATTTAAAGCAACCATTACTCTGCTAATATCAGTGCTGACTCGAGATTTGTGAAATCCATAGCAGAGCATAAGTGTAAAGCACACATTGCCTAAACCAAGTTCAGAGAGCAGACAAATCATGTGAAGTTGAGCTAAAAGCATATGATAAAGAGGAAGAGTTCGACAAGCTACTTCCAATCATGTAAGTGCCACTTCAAGAAATCCCGTAGTACAACATCATGGGTTAGGACTTCTGTATTAT